TAGAAGCCATATAGAGGAAAATGGGGGACCTCATGATAATAATGCGACCAAGACTGTGGGGAGCTGTGGGGAGGGATGGGGATCCATTTTGTACTGCAATTGACCAAAACGTGCAAGTTCCTTTCTTTTTCTGTATATCCTACCTTCCTCCCAAAAGGTGACTCAAGGTGGTTTCTTTTTATTTTTATTCATAAAGGAAAGAATTCCAGAGTCCTCTAAGAATCAAATGTGGGGGAAATCTGCAATGGACGGATCCATCTATCCAGGCCTGGGGCTTTGAGGGCCAAGCTACTGCCTTTTTTTTAAAAAATCAATCTTTTATTGAAAATATAAAAGCAAACACACACACACACACACACACACAAACATAAAACAAAAAATATACATATATACAAAAAAAAAAGAATATATATATATATACAAACAATTCCTAAACTAAACATAAACTTAATAATTAAAACACTTCCTAGGCAGAACCTAAGGATTATATCATTTTCTACCGAAATAACCTTTTTCCTATTGTTATCATGCTTATTACATCCTAGACTTTAATTACAGATAAGGAACTAACCAGCCCTCCCCGGCTGAGAATAAAAGAAGTATACATTGAAAAACAAACAAATAAGAAGAGGAAATTGTCAAAACAATAAAGTGCCATCAATAATTCATATTCACTTTCGTATAATCTTACCAGTCGAAGCCCCGCTTTCCATAATAAGCCATCATATCATATCATATCATATCATGCCATCCTGATTTCCATTTACATCAATAACCAACAATAACAACATTAGCAAATCCAAAACACCATTCATTGCAATCTCCAAAGTCTATACCCACAACTACAGTATACCTATTTCTTTCCACATTCCATTTTAAACTGATTCCATTACTTCCCCATATAATCTTCCATATTAAATTATCTATATTTTATATATATAAAAGCTACTACCCTTCTCAGCACTGCTCTCTTTCATTTTGAAGAGGAAATTTAAAATGCACACCTTTGCACAGGGCTAGGCAACCTTTTTGAGCGTTGGCTGTCCCTCAGACGACAATTGGGGGGGCCGAAGCACCATAAATAAATAAATAAACAGAAATAATTGTTTAAAACATTTAGGTTTGCTGTAAGTCAGAAATGACTCAAAGGCATACAACAACAACAACAACAACGACGACAATCTTAGATGTCACACTCTCTCAGCCACCCAGAGGGTGGCAAAGGCAAACCCTGCCTGAAAAAACACATAGGAAACGACTTGAAAATGCACAACAACAAAAACAGTGTTGAAAGTCACACTCTCTCAGCCTCAGGGAAAAGCAAAGACAAACCCCTTCTGAACAAACCTTGCGCAGGAAACCCCAGCAAAGGCTCATCTTCGAGTTGCCAAAAGTCAGGGACGACCGGAAGGCACACAACAACGGTTGGTCTTAAAAAGTCACACTCTCTCAGCCTCAGGGA